AACAATTTTTTACTGGAAGGTGCTTTGTTTCCTGCCAACAAGCACTGAAACAAAAGCTGTTGCCTGCAGCCTTTGCCAGTGCTAAGCAGTGTAAGGTGAGCACACACAGCACAGCCAGAGGCAGGGCAGAAAGCATACCTTACCTCCATGCCTCACTAAATAATACATTGGCAACGCAAGCACGCAAGAGATTTGGTGTCCTGTAACTACTGTCAGACGTGTGTCCATCAAGCCTCATGTTCGTTAGTCAAATGAGACCAATGAATTAGAGAATGTTCAAAATGGTCTTTCTTTAAATCTGCTCAAAATGAATGCAGCACAGCCACAACTGGAAAACTTGACTGAGAAGAACACAGCGGTAAGAAACTCACTGCAAATATGCAGTTTGTGCTTTTTAATTTGGTTGGTTTTTTTTGTTTTGTTTTGTTTTCATAACTAGGATGTCTACTGGGGGGCCTGATACTGCTCATGGAATAAATGAGAATGATAGGATAAAAAGAAAAATAATAAGCATGTCTTTCCTCAATCCCATTAATATGAATTATGCACCTTCTAGTCCTCTCTTATTAGATGATAAAATGTGTTGATTTTGCTAGTAAAGTATGAGAAATTATTGTTTCAGTGTGATTTGCCTTAAAATACTGGAACCTTGTTACACCAGCTAGAACAGCACCTGTGATAAAGTTGAAACAACATTTAAAGCTTTATTACTTACCTATGCATATTTGTATCAGGATAAAGGTTGGCATGTTAAATGATAGCCCCAAATAATGTATTTTCTCAAAATATGACTAGGAATTTGGAAGTGCTTTACATTTTATAATAATGAAGAACAATTTCAGCTCTTCATAAACTTGTCTGAGTTGCTTTTGTTAAGAAGTGTCTGAAATGTAAATGAAGAAATGTTACAGATACTGGAGGCTCTGCTTACCTGCAGCAGAAACTGCAAGTTTTTCAAGCAACGGTGTCAGAAACGTGCACATGAATGCTATACAGTCCTCATTTGCAATGTGCTGTTTTTTCATAATTTATCCCAATATGTCCTATGGAGCCTCATGCCAGGGATTCCTGAGAGTGCAGATTAATTGGAATCAGAGTGAAACAGAAAGGGAGGTCTCAGACACAGGAGCTGGATGAAGTAGTATGGCAGATCATGAAAAGGACTTGTCAGATCTTGTCCTCAAAAGATTTTTGGGGTTTTTGGTATGAGGGTCTTCTTTGTGTTGTGGTTTGTTTTGTTAGGGGTTTTTGTAAATTTTTTGTTTGTTTGGGTTTTTTTTTTTTTTTTTGTCAATTGAGAAGGAAATTCAACTCAATATGCAGTGGCAATTGCCGGTTATTTGACAACAAACTTTTCTAAAGTTAGTAGAGGACTAACCAATATAATATGCGTGATCGTATCATCCCATGGGGATACAAGCAACACTGTTCACAAATAGTTCTACAAGTAAACTGCATCAGTTTGATCTTCCCTAGTGAACAAATAAAAGAATTTACATGTAAAAAACATTTAAGATAGCAAGAATATGATAAAGACGCAGGTAGCCATTTTGCCAAAGGAATGCAGAGCAGAACATACATTGTTTTCCTCAACAGCTTTTCTTGAATGCAAATGTTCATCTACTAATGGAATACACAGTCTGTGAACAGTAGAGGAGGGCATGTCTCATTGACAGTGCAAGAAAAACAATACCAATTCAATATCCTACTGTGAAGACAGATTTATCAACAATTTCTGATTTAAAAAAATCCGGACATTTACCAGATCCCTGCAATCCATGAGCCTACAGAATTTACAGGCCTTCCTGTTGCTCTTTGTTCAAGAAAAGTATAAATCTATCAGGTTTATGACATGAAATAAAGAATTACTGTAAGTCCCTTATTAAATTAATAGGAGACAGATACAAAAGACCCCAGAGAAAAAACACACACCAAAAAAAGAAAACCTATAATGTGACTGCAGTGTTTGAATGCTGTACCATCACTGGCCTCATAAAACAAACACATGAATGCAAAAGGCTTATAGGTAACGTTCACAAAGACCTACTTGTGAAGGTTCTATAGCATTTTAGGTACTTTCTTCACAAAAACTCCATCATCCATTTCTGCTAGAATGACTGCTCATGATTTTTTCATACTGTAACCTTGACTTTTCCACTTTCTGCCACAGAAGCACACTTGAGTCTCCAAATCAAGGAAAATGAGAGGACAATGCTTCCTGCAAAATTTTAATCTGACTGAAACCTTTGTCCTATCACATTAACAATAAATACATTGCTCATTTTTATGGGATCTTACTTACCTATTATGAGCAGGCGTGACAGGACTGAAAACATGACAGTAACAGACTATAAATTCTGCCTTGCCACCAGTTCCATTCATGGGTGGGCTCCTATTATGCCCATCCTGGGAAGAGGAAAGTCACAGACCCAGATCCAAATTTGCCAGCATTTCAGCTAATTGGATAATGTAGTATGTCTATTGTCACTATGAGATAGTAAATCAAGATATGTTTGGGGGAGAAATAAATAGGCCAGAGGACAAATATAAACAGCTGAGAGACAAAAATAGCAGACACAAAAGAAAAAAGCTTGATACTTGATAAAATCAGAAGTATCTGTTCTCCCTGTCATTTAAATAAGATAATATTACAGATAGACAGTAAAAGTTAAAAAACTACAACCAGCAGAACCAGTATGAAATTATAATAATGACTTAGATGAAAGTCAAAATCTGTTCTTTTCTCATTTCCTTTATTTTCTTCCTACGTTTTCAGAAAGGCACTACATTTCAGTAGTGCCTAAAGATGCTAAAAAAGCTCAGGTAACAATGAAAATAAATTACAATCCTAGATATCAAATACGTTACTTGACATAAATTATTGTTAGTATTCTACAGTGGTTGAATCTACTATGAACAAGTAGGGAAAGAAATTAGAAGATCAAAGACACCAGCAATAAAAATTTTGAAAACCTCAAATGACTTCTAGAGCACTCCCAAACCTAGTTTGGGTTTTTTGTTTTGTTCTCCCCTCCTTCCCCAAGTTTCAGAGGTACATTTTCACTAAAATACATATTTAGAAAGTGACTAAAAGTCAAGTTTGGGCCTATGTTCAAATTTATTCTGGACACAAATGCAGAATTACAATGAAATCTCTTTTGGGGTTGGAATCCAATTTTATAGATTACTGAATTTCCACACAATTTTCCTTCATCCAATGCATGCACTTGAACAAGGCAGATATTCATTTTATCCACTATCAGGCACAGGTACCACACTAGACAAGAGTAAAAGAAGCTACCACGATTGTTAACAGTATTTTGAGATCTGTGAGGGAGAGGCAGGTGCACTCCAGACTATTTTTGAAAGAAGCGTAACACATACCCTGAAAATTACTGAAACCAGCAAAAGGACCTACCAACAATGAAGCAAAATACAGGAGAATGTGGGTATTGCATAAGCACTCCCAAGCAAATTAGGAAAACCCTTCTCCACAGCCTAAAGTCAGTCCTTAGATGCAACATAAATCAGGTGTATTTCTAACCTACAGCTGTGAGTTAGGATAAACATTCTTGCAACTGGGGAATTAACAGCTGTTCTTCATTTTGGGCCAGAAGCCAGACCCATTTAGCATCTTCACTGTAAGAAATATATATGGTAGGGGAAGGAAGGATGTCACTCTAGCTTGAAGGAAGGGCTGGGAGACAGCTGGTATCAGTTAAGGAAAACTAGCAGGATATTAACCACAATCACAATGTAGTTCTGACAAAAAACTAAAGGAGAAATAAGTCTTGGGACAACTTCTGCTTGTACAGAAGATGGAAAATGTGAGTGAAGAAACTCCTTTCCATATTGTTCAAGAAAAGTGGACCCTGAAGTCTCCTTCTAAAATTACTCTTGGAATACATCAAGTACCCAGCACTCCTCATGTATTTTTAATCCTAAGTAAAATATTACAGACCACATTAATTCTGGTTAAAAAAATTACTTAAAAACTAAAGTCAACTCCCAACAATGCAGATTAAATTAAACTCTATCAAACATAAGAAGATGTTACACACATAAAAGAATTCCTTTCCAAAAGAAAGGAACTCATGAATTGAGATTTTAGTTAGTAGTTGGGCTAAAGCCCTTGTTAACAGTTCTTTCTCATTGCTATTTTAAATTCACATTATTTTTACTTAAATCTCCTTTAGAATGAGATGCGAAAACTTACATTGGAGTGTTTGCTACAGGGCAAAAAAAAAAAAAAAATCAAACCTGTTGGGAGCCGACTTCAGGAAAAGGGGAGCAGAATTTGTCAACTGGTGCAAAATAACAGAACAGGAATTTTCCTTCCCAAGTGTATCATAAGAAAGACAGAATAAGTCTTTGTGATCTTTGTGAGATCAGAAAGGCTGGATATCAACACTTAGCAATTTACCTGACAAGAGTTACAGTGCAATTAGGAGAACTACCCTGGGTTATGTTTCCAGGCTACCCAAGCAGTCTCTCAGCTAATGCAGTAGCCCTTCTCTCCCAGCTGATTTAAAATGCTATGACTCAACCCACAACACAGACAGCTGTATCAGGTCTTAAAGAAATCAGCAGTCACCTGTCACAACAGCTTTCACGCAGCACACACTGATTACCAGGCACTCATTCATTAACCCCACTTTGTTTGGAATTCTCACTAATTGCATGCTTGCTCCTTTTCCATTCATGATAGACAGCAATTCTGCTGTCAAGCTGAAGAATGAAATGTCTAAACAGCACCTTTAATTCACTCTATAATTCACATATTCCTCTTGTATGAACACACTGAACCCTTTCACCAATTCCTACTGGATCTGCTCTTACTGGATCTCACATCTTCCATTGGGAAGTGGCTTCTGTCCCAGCCACCAGTTTGTGTCCCAACCTGTCCTGCGACCCACAAGGGCTCCTGAACTTCTCTGTGGTGGCTTCTGCTGGCACCATGCACTGGCCTCTGACCCAGGTGCATTTTGCATTGGCAGGGCATGCTGGAGCTGGCAGACTTGCCCCTGCAGAAGGGCTCCGTGGAGCTCCTCAAGCAGAGATGGGAATCTGCCAACGCTACGAGACCAGGCCTGATGTTCCAGCACTCGCCACTCCCACCATCCCTGGTGCCAGACAGGATCGCCCTGGAGAAGATGCCATCAGACAGCAGGAGGGCAGATGTGTTTAAGGAGGAGACCCCAGGTGGATCTCAGCTGGTGGAGCACGTCCCTGTCACCGTGGAGGAGCTGCGGAGCCACTTTGAGGCACTGGGCGGCAGGAAGGTGAGTGGCTGGGCGGGGGGGATGGAGAGGGCCCGGAGTGGCTTTCCCAGGCTCACACTGCCCCTCTGCTCTGCCCTGCTGGGAATGGGAAGCACTGGCCACAGTGCCCATGGATGTCCTGTGGACTGTTTGCATCTGTTAACAGTGATTGTCATTATCTATTATTATCTATCGCTTTCCTTACTGTGTAATTTTATTGGTCTGTTTCATTTTAATGGTTTCTGACTGGTGCTAATTGCCAAGCTATCAGGTAAATTAGTGTGCAGTTGTGTTTGGCTTGTGCTTTTTAGAAGAGGAAATAGCCAAGATATTTCACAGAATCACAGAATAATCTGAGTTGGAAGGGACCCACATGGATCGTCAACTCTTAAGTTAATGGCCTGAGCAGGGATCAAATACACAACCTTGGCATTATTAGCACCATACTCTGACCAACTGAGTGAATCTCGGGGTCTCATATTAATGCTGAGAGAAGAATTCCCAAATGAAACTATTGACAAACACTCCAAAACTTTCTGAAGCATTTGCTTATTTTTAGAGCAGTACTGGTTCCCTTCCGATGAGAAGCTTGCTGTCATTTTACACATTGGCTTTCCCTGGCATTAACATGACAGGCCTGGTCAAATTGCAACCTTTATTTGGCATCAGATTTTTGTCTGAGAAACATCTCTGATTTCTTTGAACTATATGGGGAGAAGCTAGACTTTTTTTGGAACATAAAAAATGCTTCATAGAAGTAAAGGATACTGAAAAGGTTAGTAATCTTATTTAAGATAAGGTGACTTCATACATTATTGTAGCTAGAAAATCTTTCACCAACTTTTACCTCTTCTGCATGAAAACTGAAATTCCCCTGCAAGGTTTGGTTCCTGATGGAGTATTTTATACCTTCCACATTTTAATTCCTCACTTTTTGTTCACTATCAGTTTAAAAACAAAAAATAAATAAAAAATCCCCTTTGAATAACTTATATCCCACTTCACAATTAAAGACATATTAATACTTGATTTTATAATGTGTTCTGCTTCAGGATGACCCTGCCAGTCCATGCAGTCAAGTCATTTACCCATTTCATTTTAATACCCAGGGTGATTTAAACATGGCTTTCTGGTCCAGAAACTGCAGTTCAGAATAATACATGCTGACAATTATATAATTCATACACAAAACTGAGGTACTAAAAGGTATTATAAAGCTTTTTTATGTGAACAGTAAAATACAAATACATGTGATTCATGAAAAAATCTTTTCATTGGCTTTAAACATATAACACACAAAGTAACAGGAACCAATAAAGTAAAGGTTAAAACTTTAAGGGGTTATTGAGCACTTTAAAGACCATATAAAATAGCCATAGACTGCTTCCAAGTGGCATGCTCAAATGCTTTTTATGTGGAGACCTTTTTGGTTGATCCTAGAATTTTTTTAAGGTCTCAAAATAAACTTTTTCCCTCTGAAACAAATCATTCAGTTTTGCAAACACAATCAATCTTGTAGGAGCAAATTGGTTCTATTTTTAGTCTTATTGGAATGAAGAGTTCCTTACTGAGTGAGAAAGAATAATATTTTGGACTTAAACAGCATTATTCTCTTGAGAGAATTAAAGACTTTTCTTTCAACAATACTGAAGATATTTAAAGGTGTCTATTAAGCATTTGATGTGTATCAAGCTAATGCTAAAGACTTAAGAGGTTAGAGTTAACAGTAGTATTTTTTAATATTAATTATTGCTAAGTATTTTAGTAGTTAAATATTATATCATGAGATAAAAAACTTACCATGAAAAACAAAATTTGTATTAGGATGCCTTCAGAAGGTACATCTTGACTATTCTTCTATTATCAAGTAGTGACTGACACAAGAAGATACTTATATCACAATATAGTAAAAGGCCATGGAAAGGTTTCAGCTCTCTGACTGCTTAAGATTCAATCTCTTTCAGCCACAGTACATTTCCATGGGCAGGAGGAGGGAAAAATGAAGAATGAGATGATGCATTTTCCCTGGATTTTTGTAGCAGTTTCACCCAGAAGCCATCAAGAAGGCTAGAACAAAATTAGAAACAGCAATATGTAAAACTAAGTCAAAGCCATAGAAATTCACAGTGAAATCTGAAAAATTTAAACAAAATGCCAGTGAACTACATCAGTTACCTTATGCACAAAGGAGTATCTTTACTGTCATTATACTCAGAAAAAGACTGCCAAATGTTGGACCCCTATTTGGACTATCTCTTGACTAACCAGACTTTCAACACTGGGTCTGGTTTATTACATTATTCCACAGGAAAACCAGATTTTATTTTGAGGCAAAATACTGCTGATTAAACATTCTAAAATCTCTCACTTTGGTTGCATTTTCACTGCAGTGCTATTATTTGTATATGTACAAAATTAATAGAGAAAATCAGGTCAATTAAATCACACTAAACCATAAACCCACTTCTTAAAGAACTAGATCAATCCTATCCAGAACATTCTGATGCTTCAGAAGAGAAAGACATCATTACAGACAGCTGCAAATGTATTAAGACTTTGCCCAACCCTGTTTATTTGGATGAAATGAATGCTTCATATTGCAATAAATAACACAAAACGAGGAAATAGTCAGTAAATACCAAGTTCAGTGATTTTGAAACTAAATTACTTGGTTGTTGAAACTAAATTACTGAGGTTGTCCCAGTAGAACTTGGATGTATTTCTTTCTTAGGAGTATTAATAAGTTAATAATCGAGTCTAGTTTTGGAGCCTTTTAATTTAGGCCTATTGTATCGGGTCTGTCTGTATCTTTTCATTATTTAGACATAAACTCTTAAATAATCCCATTCTGTTAAAATGAAAAGTACTTCCCCTTTTCTATAGGAAAAAATATTTCTTAGGAAGAAACAATGTATTAAAACATCAATTTACTATACTGGTAAGTATAGTAAAGACATGGAAATGCCAAAGCAACTAAGACATGGAAATGCTAAAGCAACTAAGGCCCATGTTTTCTGCAAAGTAATTATGTATGTTTTTCTTAAAATATGTGCAAAAATCCCAACTGACGAAGTAATTTCATGCTTACTTCTTAGAGAAACCTATTCAAAGAACTCATTAAAATAATTCATTTAAATAATCTGGTATATGGTCATAAAATTGTGTCCTTTGCTGAAAACACATGAACTGCTGCCAGAAAGTAAATGAAGGCAACTGATGTTTAATGTAAAAGGTTAGACCTTCATTAAAATTGTCTAAACAAGCAACATCTTTTTTTCCTTTAGCACACTCAGAAACATTTATATTAATTTAGCATAGCCACATAATGTGGAAAAGAATGGAAACCCCATGAAAACTGTAGGCCGTTTTTGTACCCTGTTAGCACTTGCATTGTTTCTATTTTTGCTATGGATGAATGAAAGGGAATGAGTACACAGGATAGCCCCAAAATTCCCCTTGTTGAAAAGCTTGCTATTAAGGGGAGTGCTGTATGGTCAGCCATACAGCACATATGGATTAGATAGAAGCATACAGATGGATTTTGGCTTCATCTCTTCCTTAACTCATTCTTTTTGTTACACATGCATTCCCCCTTACGTTTTCATCAACATTTTCTAATGTCAAAATATTTCACAAGGAAAGACCAAATTAAAGGAACTTTAATTGCAGATCATGAAGAATAGCTTTTGGTTAAAACTCCATTTTTTCTTCTTTTTTTCCCATTAAGAGGAAAGCTTTTTAATTTCTAAGTACATGTGTCAGCTCTTTACAGGTGACTTAAAATTATCTGAAGAAACAATCATCATCTCACTTCAGTTATTCTTATTTTACTCTTCTCTCAACTTGCCTGGCTTTTCACAGTTTGGAAGATGTATTAAATTTTGCCTTTCTAGAAAGCGTATGTCAGACTTCTCACTGGCATTTGCAATGTTTTACATTAGGAAAATCAGCTGTTCTAATGGTAAAAATGAAGCTTCCCAAACCTCCTTTGTTCACAAACAGTTCCCCAAAATATTACACTATGTAATGCATTTGTGTGTATATATATATATTTATATATATAGATACATAAAGTACATTGTATAATGTACTGCTGTTCCTCCCTATTTAATCAGTGAATTGGCACAGACTCACATTCCATCCCTGTTCATCACCTGCAGTTCTTCAGCTATTCTGAGGTATATTCTACATTACACCATTCCACTTGTTGGTATAACTTTATGCAAAACTGGATTTGAAATTAGCACAAATGGTTCACTCTTGGGACGCATCAACATGTCAGACCTCCTCCTCCACCATACCTGTTAAATGGTTTCTCTAGAGGTCCCTGCAACTTGTTTCACTACTTGCCTAATTATTAAGCAACCATGCTTCGGTCAAACTTTTGTATGTGTTCCAAATAAAAAGTGATAATATTTTTCTTTAGCAGATAATTAAGAACGCTTTTATTCTTCTACCTTCAATTCAGCTTTACCATTCTGTGCTTTATTTGGAGGTGTGGACAGCAGAGGAAACAATCTGTAATGGGATCTCACCTTACAAGGGTAGAATCATCCCCTTTTCCTCACAGTGAGAGAAGTTACTGATTGATCTGCAGCTCATGACAAGTGCATCAAATGCCACTTCCCAGGATGACTGAATTTCCTAGGAAGGCAATCTAAAGATCACAGTTATTTCTGGAACAGAGAAGTATTTAAATAGGACTCTTTAAAACCACAAAGCACATCTCTAGGAGATTAGGTCCAAATTATTTAATGCTGTTAAACACCATAATTACATGGTAACAGATATCCCTACAAACTTGAAAATATATACAACAGATTAACAGGTATTGTAGAAGTCTAGAAAATGAAAAGAGTGTATAACACAAAAGACTTTTTAGAAATGAAAGGCTTCTGACAGTTTTTGAGATTTCCAGGATTTCTACCCATATCACTACAGATATGACAGAGTTTTGCCTTTAGGTCTTTCAGTAAAGACCATTGGTGTTAAAGAGCAGTATCATTCTATTTTGTGATTAT